GAGGTTGTCTGTGATCTTAATCCCGTGCGAATTGGCCATGTCTGTAAATTGTAAAGTAAAAATTTCCCCGCAAATGACCTACCATATTTCGCCGAACACCGAGGTCCTGTGATAATATTAGTCCCGTGCGAATCGGCATCTCTGTGATTTGGCCAGCATTTGGCAGGTCGTATATCATTTTTCGAGGTTTTTGTTTCCTGTACGCCTTTTTATCCATCTTTCGCAGAGAATGGAGCTGCGTTGGAGTGTTTGATAGTATTTCGGGTGCTGTCATATCGCTACACCATACAATTTGCAGAAAGAGAAAGCTGAAAAGGTTTTGAGGTTAATGTGTTACAAATAAATCAAGCATAAAGCTTGAGATATTATTTTAATCTGGTGAAACTATATTAGTTTCTTTTTTTTTTTAAATCCATCTAACTGGACCATAGAACGGGACTCTCAAAGCCTTGACTTCCGGGTATCCGGGAGATAAGTCAGTAAATTAGAGTAAAATCACAGGCTTCGCTTATCCCGTGCGAATGCACCACACGAAATTCAGATGTGGGGGGGGGGTCCCCAGATAATACTAATCCCGTGAGATAATACTAATTCCGTGCGAATAAGGCTTAAGTTAACAACCATCCAGAACCACTGAGAAACACCCTATATTCCACCCAGAAACAAGCATCCACCTAAAACACCCTATTAACAACTAGAAGACCCTAGCAATCATCTACCAACCCACCCAAAAAAACAAAAAAACAACAACAACCAGAAGACCTTTGCAGTCCCACATCAATGCAACAACTACTCTGCAACAGCATGAGAAATGGCACAAGACATAAGACAAATCTTCTTGGCAAATTGAGCTGAGTGGAATGTCTAAGTCACCTGCTTATCTTCACATGAATGCAGACGGTGCAGTTCGACCATCACAGCAGGAGTTGTGTGTCATCACATACTTGTGTGTGTATATTTGTGGCCATAGCAACTGATTCTCTCTAAGTTTGGTAAACTGGATCCAGGGGTGTATTTAGTGAATTGGGGGCCCCAGGCAAAATATAGGAATGGGGCCCCCATGCGGCAGACAGTGATTTGATCATAGCCTATAGCCTATGTTTGATCAATTTAGCCTTCTCAAATCATTATGTGAATTATTTATTAGCCTATTTTTTTATCCATACAGCAAATGCTTTAAAATTACTTTATTGCATTCCAGACGCTTTTAAAGTACTTTTAACTATAAATGGGTAGCTTGAATGTAAACATTGTTATGAATTTGTTGTATTCCCATTTGTAAAATAGCCAACAAATTCATTGTTGTAGGCTAACCCGATCTCATGAAAGTGCGTATAGCACGATTTTCTGCTTCTATTTGGCATAATATTTCTATGCAGAAATTGACTTTGGCATGCAAAAGACTGATAAATTCATAATTAACGGCATGGGTTCAGTC